TGCGATTTAATGCTGATTGTAGAAGGCTGTCCTTTTGATTCAACATTGATTTTAAGTGATTGTTACGATTTTAAGAGAAAAAGATTGTAATTGATTGTAGCGATTGTAAAAGATTGTTGTGATTCTTAGGGATTTAAGTTGCGATTGTTAGTGATTTAAATTAGATTTTTTTTCAAAGTGTACAGCGATTGTTCGAAGTGAGGTACCCCTCGAAACTAGAGCGTGAAGTCATCGGGCGCGCTTCACGCGGAAATCGTTGTTGTGTGGCAGAGTGGAGGCTCGGCGCGAGGCCACGTAATGGACGTGCAGTTATTACTCGCGTTTCCCCGCGGTCGGAGGATGAGAGAGAGAGAGGGGGGGGGTGGAGGGAGGTAGGGAGAGGAAAGGAAAGCAGTGAAGGGATGAGAGAGAAGGGAGAGGCGAGGGCGAAATGACCTTTGTTACAAATTGGGCCATCACCGAGTGTACCGGCTGGCGCATGGAGGGGCGGCGGGCCGTGGCGTAGAAAAAGCAGTCCATCATGCGCCCCTATGTGGTGGCGCGCTGGTGGTGATAGCGCGCAGTAACCACTGCGTGCGCCTCAGGGTCGTCGTGTGTTCCTTAAATGCTCGTCAAAGCAGGGGTCTGTAACTCAACATGACAAACATCACTTGCTGGTTACTTACTTTATCAAATTCAAAAATAGAATTTAAAGTTAAGTCACGGAACGTAAACGATTTATATTTTATCAAATTCGAACAGAAAATTTTAAGTTACCTCACGTAATGAATTGGAATAGGTTATTCTCATAATATTCAAGGTGTAACCTCAATACTTCAACGTTAAATGTCACATTCGTTTATTCCGATACGAAAAGAAATAATGTACTTTTCCTTATCGAACACGTGCGTGTTATGACGGGTTACTTTACATCGATAATCCATAGGTCAATTCATTAACTGTTAAGTACCGTACTGCGCGTTTTTGAGTTATTAGGTATAACAAAAAACGGTTAACTTAACGATAAGAAGTGCTTTTGTGTTAGGTTACGGACCCCTGCGTCAAAGGGTTCTAGCCGATTGTGTTTCAAAGTGCTTTTTGCCTTATCCTTTTTGTTTTATCGAGAATACGGTTGTAAAATGCGTGGTTAATGGTGTTGCAGGTAATTGGAGAGCGCCCTGGTGATCCTCTGCGCACCATGCTGCTCGTCCGTCTGCTGCTCGCAGCTCTGCTTCTTGGTGAGATCCAGTGAAGAAAAAAAATCTTCCGATTTATGATTTTTATAGTGGTAAAAATACTGAAAGAAGAAAGCGATTATGAGATGCAGGGAAGGGAGCGGGGGGTGCATCGATGTAAATCACACTTCCGGGGGACTTAGTGCGCGCGCCCACAGGCCCCATAGCGCCCCACCCACCGAGCCACATCTTGTTGTTTATGGGCGGAGGGGCTGAGGGCCTTGAGGGGCTTACAGAGTCTTAACAGCGCAAAAGTCAAATCGACGGCTGCTCAGGCTTCTCTGCTGCTGCTGGAGGGTGCTTGTCGTTTTGGTTTTGGCGTGACGTTGTTTGCCTGAGCAGGTGTGTGTGAAGGGGTGTGGCGAAAGGGGGGGGGGGGTATTTGTAGTAGTGCAGACTCGTATGACTCGCCTGAATAAGACAGCGTGTCACCGTACACCGCCACTGCGCTCAAGTTACCGTAAGTACTTCACGCCGCCGCCTCAGTCAGGCCTCACCCCGCCTCATTGACGCGAGCCGGCAATAATTCAGCTACAGAGACGAGAGGTCGAGGAAAATCTCTCTCTCTCTCTCTCTGTCTCTCTCTCGCCCGGGTGAAAAAACCTTGACAGAAAATTTGTATACAGATGTACACAAAAAATTGTATGAAGGTATCTGTATTACATTCGGTAAAACAGTATCACTTTGTCAATTTCACTTTTTATAAAATATTATACAATGTATACTTGAGCGTTTCAATGAACTCACTGGAAAACAGAACCGAGTGGGTGGCTGCCGATTTCAGCGAACATATTTTTCTGATCATCTTTTTGCCCTGAGCACGATAGTAGTGATTTCACTTCCCTATGTGTAGCATTTCTTAGTTGTATGCAAACCCTTTCAACCGCGGGCTTCCTCTCATTATAGTTTCAAAAGTTGCCCACTGACTTATTGGATAACACTGGTTATTACCCTCGGCTTTCGTACAGAATCTGACATTCTAAAAATTCCATCATTTTTTGCCCCTCCTTCCCCTTTCCTCGGCATACACACACACACACACACACACACACACACACACACACTCCTTTCTCTCTATCCCCCTTCCCCCTTTCTTTCTTAAGTTGCCCCACCTCGTGTGCGCTCTAGTTTTAATTAAGAGGCGGGGGAGTGCGTCATATCACCTCTCCCGCCGAGGCGTCGAGGCGAGGCGTTGAACAATGAGATCACTGAGTGACTTATATCGCGCACTGTTGGAAAGTGTACGACGGTCTCTCACCTGGAGATGAGTGCAAAAATTCACACACCAACAAGTACCCGTAATGCCTCTGCTGCGGCACACATGCCTTTCGCCTTTCGCCCGAGGGGTATTGCCAAACTTGCATAATACTCAGTACAGGGACCCATAATACCTTCATAATACTTCATAATACCCCATAATATTTGACATAATACCCCAAAATTCACCCAAAATTCACACACAGTACCTCACTCTATAATACTTCATAATACTATAATACCACATAAAATGACTCAATAAATGTCATAATACTATAATAATAATACTCCATACATTAATGTAGCAATTGCTAATAATATGGGTTGGCGACCCCTCTCCCTCTTGCTTTCGCGCCTTTCTGCTATTTCTTTCATTTGACCTCTCCCTATCCCGAGCGTTGACCTCCGGCCCCGCAGAGCGAGAACATTGCATCTGCGAGGCTGAGACCACAGGGTCACAAGGCCATGAGGCCGCAAGGTCATAGGGCCGTATAAGGCGAGGCCGGAGGGGGATGGCAAGAGACTGCTGGGTCGCAGCTTTTGGCTGCGGTCCAGCGACTGATAGCTGCCGGCTGCTGGACTTGCTGGAGAAGTAGTTATTCGGGTTATTCAGTCACGACCGGACTCTTTCACCCTCCCGCCCGGGCGCGCCCCCCACTCACATGTCGCGACCTTGCCCCGCGGTCATCCCATTCAATTTCGCCGCATGCAGGGCTCGACGAGGCGCTGCTGCTACCAGTGGGACGTGCAGTAATTTTCCATGTTAACTGTTGACGTTTCTTTTCTCGTTTTTCCGTGCTTGTTGTTTGCAAGAGCTGCCCGCTTTTTCTCTGCTCTTTTCCTCCTTCAAGGAGTGGAGACGACCCTGCTACCCCCTCCCGCTCCTCCTACCCCACTCTCTTCCCCCGCCCCTTCAACCTCCCCATCCTCACGCACTCCCGCGAGGACAGTGAAGGATCTTCAGCGTTTACCGTCCGCCACTCCCACTCCCTCCCCCCCTCCCCCCGTCCCCCACCTCACTCCTCTTGGCTAGGCACCCCGCCACCCGCATCCCCTCTGGAGCGGAGACAAAGCGCGGGCCAGCACGGCATTATGGACATTGCTATTGAATCACGGCCGATTGGAAACACATTCTCGAAGGGCCCCTGACAAGCAGGGGGGGGGGGGTCACCCCGTCGTAGGGGAGGGGGCCACGCCCGGCGCCAAGCTCGCGAGGGACGCGCTGCTTCCAAAATAAGCGAAAGCGTATAAAAGACGCGCCTTTTTGTTTCGCTTCGCCAGATGCTGGGGAGGGGGGGGGGGCAATGGGTAAGAAAATATATTTGAAAAGCTGTGAGGTTGTTGGGCGCGCTATACCTTTTTATTAGACACCAAACAGCACAAGTGTATTGCTGGGCATATTTGCGAGTGCACAACTGCTGTTCTGAGCCCTTCATCACAAGTGTTAAAGTGACACGAGCATGTTCACTAGTGTGGACCGGGTGAACACTTTGGTTTATCAGCGTACCTCTATATCGGTTCACAGAGTAAAGTTTGGGAATGTGTCAGTCCCGTTCAAACAAAACCCTGTCGGGAATGCGTCAGCCAGAGATGAGCGTAACGCCGTAACGCCCGCCACGACGCCACGTACCGTTGCGAAGCGAGGTGGGGTTTTCAAAATTGCGAAACCCATCGATAAACGACGCCCGTTACCGATATAAATTGCAGTCGTTCGTCTTCGTTCCCGCTCAGCAGTGGCAGTTACTTTGAATGCCCTGGGGTTGGGAGGTTGGGCGGGACGGGGGGGTGGGGGTGCGTGACTGGTGGCCCAGTCCCGGGTACAGCGCGTCTCTTAACAGAAACTGATGGTGGGCCCTCCGACCAAAGCTGAGCCCTCCCAAGAAATCGGACCGCAGCCTCGCAGAGACGCGTCTCGCACTCGTCCCCAGGAGGCGCGGTCCTGCCGGGTCGTGGAGGCTGACGGAGATCCAGGCGGCTGAAGGTTGATTGAGGCTTGCCGAGGGGGCTTTCCCCAGGCCTCCCCCCGGGCTGGTCGCGGCGGCTGATGGCCGTGCCCCTTGTTATGAGGCTGCACTGCAGAGAGAAGGTTCGATTGATGGATGCTGCCCGACATTGTTGCTGGCTCGGCTCGCCAAAAAGCCCGTCTGAGTGAGGAGAAGAGAAGGGGAGGGGGGGGCGGGGGGTATGGGCCCCACTAGCAGGCAGGGGATGGACAGACGGACGGACGAACGGACGGAGAAAATTGGCAAAAGTCATACCGACCCTTTATCTTCATTTTCGGAACGGCTCGGCGGCTCTCAGTTTAGGGACGGCGACGGTGGCAGACATGTAGTTGAGCCGCTCCGGGCGGTGGATTCATCGGATAGGAAGAGGGAGAGAGAGAGAGAGAGGGGGGGGGGGGGGGAGAAGAGGGGGGGGGGGGGGGGCTACGAGGGGCGCCTGGACAGAAAAGGGTTGGAAATGAATAAGCAAATGAGTTGGAAGGAGGGGGATGCACAGGAGGAGGGGCGTCGAGCGATAAGGAGGCCCCTGATGTCTGACTGTATCAGCCGCTGTGATCGGCCGGCGGCTATCATCATCCCCTTCACCTGACTCCCCCTCCCTCTCTCCTATCATCCTCCGTTCTATCGTCCTTCACGCCCTGTTCCTGCCTCTCCTACTCGGAGCCCTCCCCCGTGGCTGGCAGGCGTGCCCCCCCAAGGACGACAAACGTGCCCCTCGTCGCGGCGCGGGTAATGGTAAAAGGCAGGGGTCAAGTAGGGGACGGGGGCAGCGAGGGGGGCGACGCGGGAGAGACGAGCAACGCGTGAGTCGGGGGGGAAGCCCCACTGTAACCGCGGCGGGAAATGATGTACCGGGTAATTCATAGAAGACGCAGGTGCGAGTCGGTTTGCCTTGCCTACCCACCCAAGGGGCTATGGCGCCTTACGGACAGATCGGGTAGGCAAACCCGCGCGCTCCTGCGTCCTCTCTGAATCACCCGGTAGAGTAAGCAAAGCCCACTGGACAAAGTATCTACACCACTCACGGCAGTTTTCAACTTGATCTCGGCTTTTTGTGGAGATGCGTGTGGTCTTGCAGTGTGGGCAACCTAGTCCTTCACATACATTTAGACTGTCTCACTTTCCAAGAGTATACTAAACTGATTGTGAAAAACTGCACTTCAGCCCGCATACAATACAAATTAAAACAGTTTTTGACGGTACTTTTCTTACCACCGTAAACCGTAGAATATTGTTCACAATTTAAAATCGTTACACCAGTTTAAAACTGTACGTAATGCTGTCGATTATTTTTTTCAGTGGTAACGTTTTATAAGTTAGTTATTCCCCCCCC